AATCCGTGCTGACTACTCCTGATCACCTTCTTGTCCTCCACATGCTTAGTCATGACCTCCAGGATGAGCTGTTGCCTCACCTGTCCAGGGATGGGGGTGAGGCTGACAGGCCTGGAGTTTCCTGGCTCCTCCTCCTTGCCCTTTTGGAAGACTGAGGTGACATTGGCTTTCTTCCAGTCCTCGGGCACCTCTCCTGTTCTCCAGGACCTTTCCAAGGTGATGGAGAGCGGCCTAGCAATAACATCCGCCAGCTCTCTCAGCACTCGCAGATGCATCCCGTCAGGGCCCATGGATTTACGGGTGTCACGTTTGCACAAATGATCTCTAACCCCATCCTCCTCGACCAAGGGAGAGTCTTCCTTTCTCCAGACTTTCTGTCTTGTCCCCAGGGTCTGGAATTCCTGAGGGCTGGCCTTAGCAGTAAAGACTGAAGCAAAGAAGGCATTTGGTATCTCTGCCTCCTCTGTGTTCTTCATCACCAGGGCCCGTGCCCGATTCAGCAGCGGGTCCATTTTTTCCCTAGTCTTCCTTTTGCTATTGATGCATTTGAAGAAGCCCTTCTTGTTGTCCTTGACATCCCTTGCCAGATTTAATTCCAAGTGGGCCTTAGCCTTCCTTGCCGCATCCCTGCATACTCTGACAATGTCCCTGTATTCCTCCCAAGTGGCCTGTCCCCTTTTCCACCTTCTGTACACTTCCTTCTTCTGTCAGAGTTTTGCCAGGAGTTCCTTGTTCACCCGTGCAGGTCTCTTGCCCCCTTTACTCAACTTCTTGCATATAGGGATGCCCCATTCTTGATCCTGGAGGAGGTGATTCTTGAATATCAACCAACTCTCTTCATCCCCTCTTCCTTCTAGGGCCCTATCCAGTCCCTTTATACAGAGCACCTTTGGAACAATACCTCCAGAAAGAGTTTGCAAAAACAAAGAAACAAACAAAAAGACACAGGAACTATGAGCTGAACAAGAAAACCAAGCTGCCAAAACCCACATCATTCACATGCGGGAAGCCAGGAAAATGTGCCCTCTTTAGCTCCCTCCCCAGTGCAATGGCAAAAGCCATTTTCGGGACACATTAACACCGGGACTCCCATGTGCCTCTCCCAAACTTCCCACATGAGGAGAACTGGGGAATAACTGGGATGGGAAAGCCTGTCCAAGATAGTGGTCTGACGCTGAGCATGTTTTTTCTTCTGAATCCCAGCATACTTTGTGAACAACACCTTTGCACCTGGTAGCTCTCCTCTGTTAGTGCTCTGCTGAGACAGAATCAGCTCTAACTCCCACTGCTAATTAAAACGGAACTAAAATAAACTGATCCCCTCCAGAAAGCAGACATCCAGGTATCAACTCTTCATTCCTTAACCCCAATCCATCTCTAAACACAACTTGAAGTAAGTACTGAAGCAAGGAGCTTTCATCTGTATTCTCATTGTGCAGAGAGCTGAGAAAAGCCTTTTGAAAGACAACAAGCTAAGAATATTGATTAACAAAGGAATACTTGCAGGCACTCTTCAAGGACCTTGTGGAGCTCACCCTTACCATCACAGGCTATGGAATACCCACTAATTTATCAGTTAATAAATACCTCTGTCCCTTCTTCCCACATCAGTGTCCCATAGTAATGGGAGAGTCAGCTATCTGCCAAAGAGTAGCAGGTGTTCCGGACCTTTCAAGTCTGTAGGAGATACAAAGATATACACAGACACATGCAGGAGAACACAGATATAACCTATATGGGCATACGTTCACACACAAACTGAGTCCAGTTGTCAACCAATCTGCAGCCAATCTATGCTTTCAGGCATCTCAGCCAAATGCTAAATGGCAATTCTAAAGGACAATTCCCAGGCACAACTTATCACAGTTAGTGACTGAGACAGAAAACCTGCTGCTCTTATAACTTCCTTCACAAAACCATTGCCCCCAAAGAAAATGTTGTGTAACAAAAAACCCAAACAACCTAATGCTACCAAAGATACCTTCTCCAGGTTCTGCTCTACTTTTTACGTTAACAAATCACTTGGAAGATGAAGTAAATGCGCCAAAGACACCTGCCACAACGTCTTCAACAACAAAACCAAATCTGCTTGCCAGAACTAATTCACTGATCAGCAGGAAGCATTTAAAGTTACGTTAAGGAAACCTAATAAGTTTCCTTAGTTTTCTCTCTCTTTCCCCGTATAAAAGTACCACCATTCATTATTTTCTGGTATTTTCCTGTACTTTCCAGAAGCAGCTCACTGCACTTACGCAGTAACATAACTACCCAGAGTATGTTCTATCTATCCATAACATTATGTGAAATTTCAAATATACTGAGAACATGGACGTGACTACATGGTCCTAAAAATGTAGGAAAATTAGATTTTAGTTTACCATCATTAAAACAGTCCACAACCCAATTAGCTGAGATCTTTCCACTGTTACACAGAACAAGGAGTTAGACTTGCAATTATGTTACAAGTGATGGGTAGCTCTTGTCTCTTTTCCAAAAGCATCTACGACACAGTTTGATGCAAGCTGTGTGAGCAGGTAAGGAAGACTCAGGACTGACACATGCTTGCTTCTTTTCCAGA